GTAAACTACATTTTTTGTTTTTCTGGGGGAACTGGGCTTGATTAATAGGGGGGTTTCTGGCAAGGAGCAAAAATTATCAGGGGGGGAGGTTGCAGGGTTTTAATTAGTTTAGTATTGGAGGCTCCAGCTGGGCTTGATTAATAGGGGGGGTTGGTTAATCCTGGCAAGGACGCTATTAGGTGGAGGCCATCGCTCGCAAGTAGGTTGGAGGCCATTGCTACTAGGAGCAAGAAGCTTCTAGGTCTCGGTTTGCATCCTGAAAATCTTGCTGGTGCTGAAGCTGTGCGCCAACCCCCCATCTGTCCCCTTCTCACCTGCTGCCGGAGGTCGGCGCCGGGACCAGCCAAGGCGCATAGCTTTTGTAGCGCCGTGCAAGCCCTGTCCCCATAGCCACGGGGGCTTCAATTCTAGATTCAATAGTTGGATTCTATGGTCAAGTAGTCAAGTATGGTCAAGTTTCTGTTGAGTTACTGCAGCATCACACATGCCAATAAATGCGACAGTCTACTATGTTAAAAACATTTGAAGAGATGTTGGTGGTGAAGCTGCAGTGGTTTCTATGGCTCGCTTGACGCAGTCAGCCAAGACCTGAATTCCAAGCAAAGAGCTCACATTCAGTCGCAAGTAATTCTACTGCTCCTGAACAGTTCATTGGGTTCATGGGAGCAGCTTTTTTTTCTGATATGATCACACTTGCTAGATTCAGACCCTGCATGTGTGCACATTCTTCAAGGCCCAAGAACTCTTTGTCACCCAATGACAAATTTCAGCACGCAAGAGCGATATCCTGGGACATCCTTCCAACTGCTTGGGACTGTCCTCGAGCCATGGCACCAGACAGCAGATACTTCATGCATTGCTGCTGGGCAATTCCTGCGATGGGTGCTCTCTGCGGGTCGCTGACGATGGTGCGAATCATTCAGCCTGGTATCAACCATTTTGAGTGTTAATTAACGTAGCGCTAGTGGCAATGACAAAATATGGATGCGGTCCACATGGTTCCTTTTGCAGAAAGATGATAGAATGCTGCAGCCATCAGCAAAATCCGTTTCTATCTGTTTCTGATTGAGGGTCTGATGAAGGTGGGTGCTGAACTGATTTCTCCTCTTGGCCCACCTCAGGCAAGTGTCTACTATTTGACTGCGACATCGGGACATTTGCCACAAGGATAGGGCCTGCTGGGATGGCAGTTTCAAATCAAACCTGGACAACAGAAAGCATACAAACGTGTATCATGAACTGTATATATTATAAATTCAACATTTCTGCAACATGTCTTTATGTGTGGTGGCTGTTGCACAGGGTCGAGCACTCCGCCACTATCCTTCATGGGCCTCCGAGATCCTGAACGTCGTGTGTATCAGGTGGGCTTTGCACTGACTGGGCTGCTTCTGGCCCAAAGCGTGCGCATTTGGAGAGCCACAATCTGGCCGTTATTGCGCTCTGCGGGTGAGGGCCTTAGCATTAGCATTGTCGCACACACAAGCAGGAGATGTCAGGAGGTAGTCACAGTTTATGATTTTTAAGAATCAAGCAAGCAACCTATAAGACTTGCTAATGTTTGCTGATTGGAAGAGGCCGAACTTGTGCCAAGTGCAGTCGGAACAAAATGTCAGAGGTCCTCTTGACAGTCATTGCCTAGGATTTGAGCAATGTGCGTACTATGGGTTCCTGGGTGGATGCCTCCTGGCTCGAGAGGCTAGCGGCTAGTCCAAAGTCCTGGGGTAGTGGTGGGAGTCTTCCAAACGAGGGATGTCATGGCACGCAAGATTCCTGGGAGTTCTTGCGTTGTGAGCTGTGCTTGCATCGCGGACACGGGGCACATTCAGTGAAACCCAACGAAATTGCCTTCGCCAAATCTGCCGAGGTTTGGCGGCAGCTGGTGCTGCTTTGCAGGGCATTGTGACGCTGGAGGCCGTGACTCGCTACCAAATCCGGCCAAATCCAGAATTCACCAGGCCCAGGTTTGTGGGTCAGATATGGTCAGATGAAAAGCCGAATGGCCGGTCTCGGGACTCAACCATTTGGCTGCATCAGGTGCTGCCAACGAAGCTCACCGGCAGATCATGTGGTGCTAGGGCGTTTGGGGCAACTCATGGTTTTGGTTTGCCCAAAAAGGCACACATACACATATAGATGTATATAACTATATATTATATATATATACATACATGTAAGAGAGTTAAACTGTGTGGGGCTTGGGCCAAGCTGTCGTGCCTTGTGCGTGTTGAACTCGCATAGCCACTCCTGAAGGCTCACGCCCCTTCTGCCACGATTGTTCTTAAATGAGGATATCTTGGAAAAGATTTCCAGCCAGACTGCAGAGCTCAGCATCCAAAGAGCTTTGGCCACAAGTTTGGTTCTCACAGTCAGCAATTATCAGCATCAATTGAATGCATTGACTGAGGGTCTAGGTCCCCGTATCATAAGCCAAACTCAAGAAGACAGAAGCGCCCAACTGAATTGATTCTGTTGTAGAGGAGCATAATTGAGATTACAGATGCAGCCGCTGTAGCTCATGTTTTTGCCTCCATCACACGCCGGTGGAATTGAAAACAATTGAGTAAACTTACAAATCTGCAGAATGGTCCATGCCGCTGGTCAAGCCAGGCAAGCTTCACCAAGCATTCGCACTGTTTTTCTTCATCGGCTGCACAATGCACTGCCACCTGGCCAGGTTGCATGTCATATGTTGTCGGCAACAGCCATGTGACTCTTTTGGCAGATTCCCCTGCATGCGCCTGCCATATGTTCTTTGTGTATTGATTGTTTGACACATTGAATGTCGGATTGAAACCCTTCCAACTTTCAATGTCACAGTCTTCCTCACTACCACTGCCTAGGCTTCGCCATGACTGTTGCAGCTATAAGCTGTACAGAGCCACAACTGGTACATGCGTTGTGCTGGAGCAAGTGGCTCAAGGTGCTTCTACTGTCTACTGGTGCTTCCGTGACGTTTCAGCATGAAGACGAGCTAACCAAAGGCCGTCGTTTGCATGGCCTAGTGGGCAGGACACCCAGACCGGCTGAAAGGGAACACCATGGAACATCATGGAACACCACTTGACGGTGCGCACACCATTGGCGGATCAACTCCATCCCAAACATTTGCACACATTCACGGACTCTCTTACGTGCTTTCTCGCCCTTGCGCAGGTGGGAATTTCTGCTCTCACTGTGGTTGCAGCGCCAATTGCAGAAAAATTGCATCCAACAAGGCCGGTTTCCACAGAAACGGCAAGCGTGTTTGCTTGCGGCTGGTCAGCACACTGATGTGCGCTTGATGCATCCAAGACTAAGATCGTTTTGCTAGCAAGAGCCAATGCGAGAGAGGTGTGCCAGCTCACTTGAGCTGCCGCCAGGCAAACCAACGAGCAAAGCTTTGACGTTGCTGGCTTGACGCAGTATTTGACAGTAGGCCTGGAGTTTATTGGAGTTTGGCTTCACATGGGTCATGTCGAGATGCTTTGCCGGGAGAGCGCGTTGCTTCCTTTTCCTGGATAGGAATCTTATGTCAAGTCATTCGGAAATTCGTTGTTGCAAAGCAAAGAATCGAAGTTGCAGGTTTGTACGTCTTCTTCTTCGCCCTCTACAGACTCCTGGTGATGAATTCAAGCCGATCTGATGACCCATGGTAGGTTTTGGCAAGCGGACCGGCCCAAAGAAGGTTTCTATTTCTATTTTTGGTATGTTTGTTTGGGCTTCGCCGACGCAGCCGACCTGCTTCAGGTGTGGATTTCTATCGCCTGGGACGGGCAAAAGATGCCCACGACTAGCATCGACTAGCCGGAGAATCCAAGTAGCTGCCTCACTTGTCTTTGGTTGCTTATGTCCCAAGTGTCCGTGAGCCAATTGGGCAAAAGAGAAAGAAGTGCGGACTGCCAAGCTGTGACTGTCAAAAATGTGTTAATTAGGTCATCAGGCAGGACATTTGCTGCGGCACGAGCTATGTTGGGATTTGCACCTGTTATGATGAACCGATGGGCGGTCAGACAGGCAGGAGTCAAAAGAGTCCAAGCAGCTGTGGCCTGAGATTGGGAAAACACATGCTGAACGACTTCTCGGGATGGCTGGTCACTGGTCAGGAGCTGGGAGGCTGTCGTGGTTTGGCCGCTCTAAACTCTAAACCGTTAAACCCTGGCAATCAGCTAGCCACCTTAGGCCAGAGCTGCAGCTGGTCAATGAGGACAGACGGCTTGAATTCTAAAGACTACGCATCGTGGGCTGTCTGGCTTAGTATGCTTAATATAGTGATTGGCATAGCTGCAGCTGCAGTTGCGATGCCCACAATGTAGCCACGGAGGCTTTCGTTTCAGATCTCGTGCCAAAACTGCTTGTAGAATTTATAATTCAATCGTCTATATTGATCATCGTTTCCCAGTCTGACACTATTTGCAGAGCATACTTCTTTGCTCATTTCACACCATGGCACCATCTAACCGTTACCCGTTGGAAGTCGTAGCTCCATGGCACACCCCACGTGCCGCCCACTCCCTGCAGCCGTGACCGGCTCCGAGACCGGCTTGGAAAGCGCCGTGGGGCCATGAGACGGTGAAGTTTGAGCTTTGAGGTCAGGGAACCTGAGGGAAGGTTGGAGCGTCATCAAAGACTCAAAATCTCAGTTCGTTCGGGAAATGGTAGCTAGCTGCCAGCTAGCTGTTGGCTTTCAACGCAGCATCAATCCAAAGGCACCACTCTGAGAACATCCAAAGTAATTAGGTTGTGCAAACTCCCAATTCCAACTCTTTGTTCTGCCCACAGCGCCCCATTTAAGATAGACCCAAGTGGCTTAAGTTGACCCAACATGCAGGTCGTAATTCAAGTATTATGCTCGTTTTGCAAGGGCCGCTGCTCCTGAACAGCATGCATGCCAATCAAGTCTTTCTTAGACATCTTAGACACATCGACGTTGGTCGGCATTTTACCTTTTGCTGTCGACATTCTCTCTGGCACAGCTTACCTGCAAGAGCTGCAGGTGAAGCTGATTCCGTGTTGCCAACATGCCGCCGCCCCCAATGATGCAGCTTGGAGACATTGTACTACGACGTGTGTAGACTGACAGAATGCCTGCGACCTGCTAATCTATTTGTGTGAGTGTGTGGGCCATGCGGGTCATCCTTATGCCAACTGCTGTGAATGGATCAGGCACAACAGGGTACCATAGGGTACTTCCGGGTAGCTTCTTTTCTGGATCAAGTCAAAATCGCTTTTCAGAGCTCCTTTGTGGAGGCTGGATGTGGATGATGTGGAGGACTCGGTGTGCATGACCTGGTCCATCGACGAAAGCGGCACCATGCGGCACCGGAAGACTGGCACCAAGGTCTCAACCAAGGAAGGCATTACGCCCCTTGGACACAAGGCCGTTTGATCAACGTCCCTTCTCTTCCCGTTTTGTGCCCACAAGTGGGAGTTCTTCTCCCACGCACATTCGGGGAAAGTCTATTCCTTCCTCCTTTTTTGGTGGGTGGGTGCGTTTGTTGATGATTGTGGAATTGTGGTGTTCACATGCATTCACTTACTGCTTGTATACTGTAGTAATTAGTATGTATTAGTTAACTGTTCAATCGCTACAACTTAAGGGCATCCTGCTAGAGTCTCAGAGCACCGTGCCCAAATGGGTTACGCTATGATAGCCATGTCCATCAAGTCGTGGATTCGGCATCCAAGACCTGGGCCTTTAGCCATAGTCCTCTGTCACTGTACCTAAAGCATCAGAGAGTGTGAGGCCACAATTTACCTCTTCATACTGCATAGGCAGAGGGCATAGACAGACGGTTGGAATTCCACCACACGTTTGAAATGCTTCAAGAAGTTCATCCCTTCCAAGAAGTTTTCCCAGTTTCTTGCGCGCTAGTTTCGTGCAGCTCGCGCCGCGTGCTTTAGGTTTGAAGGAATGGAATATAGACTGTCGCCAGAGGACACCGCGCCAGGGGCATTGGACAAGATGCCTCGTGCATCATCAATGTTGCATAACTTTCCCCAGAAATGTTTCAAAATCAAGTACAGTGTTGAATTGCTGAAGCCTGAATCTAGGATTAAGATGGCCGAACCCCTTATAAGACAGGAGATTAGCAAAGTTCCATTTCTATAGAAAAAGTCTATTTTTGCTATTGAAAAAAGTTCAACCAAACATAGAGAGTTGCAAAAAAAGTTCAAGCAAACCTAGAAGGGTTGGAAAAAAGTTCAAGCAAACCTAGAACAGTCCCAAAAAAGTTCAAGCAAACCTAGAACAGTCCCACAAAAGTTCAAGCAAACCTAGAACAGTCCCAAAAAAGCTCAAGCAAACCTAGAAGGGTTGAAAAAGGTTCAAGCAAACCTCGAAGGGTTCCAAAAAAGTTCAAGCAAACCTAGAAGGGTTCCAAAAAAGTTACAGCAAACCTAGAAGGGTCAAAAAATCAAGTTCAAGCAAACCTAGAAGGGTTCCCAAAAAGTTCAAGCAAACCTAGAGGGTTCAAAAAAAGTTCTATCAAACCTAGAAGGGTTTAAAAAGGTCAATCAAACCTAGACGGGTTCCAAAAAAAGTTCAAGCAAACCTAGAAGGGTTATTTAAAAATGTTCAAGCAAACCTAGAAGGGTTCCAAAAAAGTTCGAAGCACACCTGGAAGGGTTTAAAAACACCTAGAAGGGTTCCAAACAAGTTCAAGCAAACCTAAGACGGTTAAAAAGAGCTCAAGCAAACCTAGAAGGGTTCCAAAAAAGCTCAGGCAAACCTAGAAGGGTTAGAAAAAAAATGTTCAAGCAAACCTAGAAGGGATCAAAAAAGGTTCAATCAAACCTAGAAGGGTTAAAACAAGTTCAAGCAAACCTAGAAGGGTTCCAAAAAAGTTACAGCAAACCTAGAAGGGCTCAAAAAAATCAATCAAATCTAGAAGTCTAGAAATCATTAAGCAAATCTAGACTTCTATACTAAACTTCATCTAAATTTTAAACTAAACTGACGGACGGGCGGACGGAAGGAAGAAAGGAAGGAAGGAAGGACGGAGGGAGGGAGGAAGGAAGGAGTGGAACTGGAGGCAGGGAGCTTGAGGAAGGGAACTGGAGGAAGGGAACTGGAGGCAGGCAGCTGGAGGAAGGGAACTGGAGGCAGGGAACTGGAGGAAGAGAGCTGGAGGAAGGGAACTGGAAGGCAGGGAGCTGGAGGAAGGGAACTGGAGGCAGGGAACTGGAGGTTGGGCGAGTTTTGGCCGAGGAAACGGCGAGGGTTTGGCGAGGGCTTGGCTGAGGGTTTACTGTTTTGTACACTTGCAAAACTATGGCTGTAAACAAAACGCTGCCCGATTTTTCCCGAGAGCGCCTGCGAAGGGTTCTTCGTAAAAAACATCTGCAGAACTACACCTCCTCTACATCTTTACATCTTCACCTCTGCATAATCACGTTCTCACCTATATCTCTGCTCATGTTCACATCTTTACATCTACATCTCCGCTCATCTTGACATCCTCGCATCTACATCTCCGCTCATCTTCATCTTGACATATCTACATCTCTGCTCATCTTCACGTCCTCGCATCTACATCTCTGCTCAACAGCTCACATCTTCACCTCTCGCTCTTCTTAACTTTCTCTCTTAAGGCCGGGGGCAGGAGCACCACGAAACGCAACCCTCTGCGGAGATCGTGCGTGTCGAGCGCACGAAATGCAGGCAAGAGTGCGATTTGTCTCTGTCCGTCGCAACCCTCTGCGGAGATCGCGCGTGTCGAGCGCACGAAACGCAGGCGAGAGTGCGATTTGTCTCTGTCCGTCGCGACCCTCTGCGGAGATCGTGCGCGTCGAGCGCGCGAAATGCAGGCGAGAGTGCGATTTGTCCCGGTCGCGGGCAACCCTCTGCGCGGATCGCGCGTGTCGAGTGCGCGAAATGCAGGCGAGAATGCGATTTGTCCCGGTCGCGGGCGACCCTGCGGGGATCGTGCGTGTCGAGTGCGCGAAATGCAGGCGAGAGTGCGATTTGTCCTGGTCGCGGGCAACCCTCTGCGGCAACCCTCTGCGGGATCGTGCGTGTCGAGTGCGCGAAATGCAGGGGAGAGTGCGATTTGTCCCGGTCCGGCGCAACGAGAACTGGCGACTTTGTAGTACGACATTAGTACGCGGAGAGTATCTGGGGAGCTGGAAGATGAGAACTGGCGACTTTCTAGTACTACAACTTTAGTACGCGGAGTATGTGGGGAGCTGGAAGATGAGGACTGGCGACTTTGTAGTACAACTTTAATATGCAGAGCAATCTGTGGAGCTGGAAGCTGAGAACTGGCGACTTTGTAGTACAACTTGAGTACGCGGAGTATCTGGGGAGCTGGAAGATGAGAACTGGCGACTTTCTAGTACAACTTTAGTACGCGGAGCAATCTGTGGAGCTGGAAGCTGAGAACTGGTGACTTTGTAGTACAACTTTAGTACGCGGAGTATCTGGGGAGCTGGAAGATGAGAACTGGCGAAGTTGTAGTACAACTTTAGTACGCGGAGTATCTGGGGAGCTGGAAGATGAGAACTGCCGACTTTGTAGTACAACTGTAGTACGCGGAGCAATCTGTGGAGCTGGAAGCTGAGAACTGGCGACTTTGTAGTGCAACTTTAGTGCGCGGAGTATCTGGGGAGCTGGAAAGATGAGAACTGACAATTTTCTAGTACAACTTTAGTACGCGGAGTATCTGGGGAGCTGAAAGATGAGAACTGGCGACTTTGTAGTACAACTTTAGTTCGCGGAGCAAGCTGTGGAGCTGGAAGCTGAGAACTGGCGACTTTGTAGTACAACTTTAGTGCGCGGATGAGTCATCTCTCGCGGCTGCTCTGGCGCCCCTGCAGCTGAGTCATGTCTCCCCACCGCCCGGCTCTCTTGAGAGGTTGACAAATTTTGGCTACTTTGCTTACTCATAAGTGGCTGCCGCAAAAGAGTCATCGTGACGTTAGTATGTGTGTACTTCACCTTCATGACAAACGATGTTCGCTTGGAATACACGAGTCGCTTGTCATGATCGTGACGTCGTTTACTCTCAGGTTGCCCTGTTCGTGGAAACTTCAGTGTAAGATGTACGTTCTTCAGTTCTATTTGAATCTCTTCAGCGTTGTGCTTGCGCAACTAGTTGCGCTGCCGTTGCATCGACGCATCTACGTCTACACCCCCTCACCTCTCTACATTTACATCTTCACACGCTCACATCCGCAGATCTACCTCTCCACCTCACCACACCCACACATCTGCGCATCTATATATCACATCTGTACATCCACACTGTCGCTCCTTCACATCTGTCCTGTCTTTCTTTTTTTCGTTCTTTCTTTCTACATATCTTTTCTCTCGTCTCTGTGCATTTACATCTTCGCACGCTCACATCGACAGACCTACCTCTCCACCTCCATGCATCTACAGATCTATATCGCGCCTGCGCATCCACACTGTCACTCCTTCACATCCACCCTCTCTTTCTCTCTTTCTATACATCTTTTCGACAGTGCTGGACAATTGCATGTCTCGCTCTCGGGCCAACCGTCGTCTAGTTTTTTAATTTTTCACATGTTTAAGACTTAGGGTTTAAGTAGCAACCAAGTCGGGAACTACACTACACCTGTCCGCCGGGCAGCGCAAGCAAAACTGCGCCCGTGCCTGCTAGTCAACACCAGTGAAGTGGTGGAAGGTGGCAGCTGGAGGCAGGGAACTGGAGGAAGAAAACGGGAGGAAGGGAACTGGAGGCAGGGACCTCTGGAGGAAGGGACCTGGAGGAAGGGAGGAAGGGAACTGGAGGAAGGGAACTGGAGGCAAGGAGCTGGAGGAAAGGAATTGGCGGCAGGGAATTGGAGGAAGGTATCTGGTGGAAGAGAAATCGAAGTCAAGAATCTGGAGGTTGTGGCCTTCTTTCCTGAAAGTTTGAGCTATTTGCGCGTCTCTTCAAAAAACAAAAAACAAGGTCCAGGTACGATTGTTGCCTTCTTTTTTTTGAAAGCAGTTGTAGTTGCATCCATTCTGTGGCATTGTTTTGGTCGAAGCTCTGTGAGAGTCTGTGACTATGTGATTTCGCTGAGCCATGTGGTTGATCACCACTCTAAGTACTCTTGATTTTTGCAAAAATCTGGAGATTGGAAGGTTTGAGTTATTTTCGCCTCTCTTCAAAAATTAAAAACAAAAATCAAGGTCCAGGTGCGAGTGTTGCCGTTTTCTTTATTGAAAACAGTTGTAACTGTATCCATTCTGTGGCATTGTCTTGGTGGAAGCGATGTCTGTGAGAGCCTGTGACAACGCTGAGCCATGTGGTTGATCACCACTCTAAGCTTTCTTGATTTTTTGCAAAAGTCTGGAAATTGTGGCCTTCTTTCTTGAAGGTTTGAGAAAATTACGCCTCTCTTCAAAAAAATCAAGGTCCAGGTGCGATTGTTGCCTTCTATGTTTGGCTGATTGTTTTTAAACAATATTTGTTTTGCTGAACTTTTTCCGGCCATCTATGTTTGGCTGAACTTGTTTAAAACCTTCTATGTCTTGCTGAACTTTGTTAAAGCACGTTAAAGCCCTTCTATATTGGCTGACCTTTTTTGAACCTTCTCTGTGTTGCTGATTTTTTTTTACTCTTCTATGTTTGGCTGAACTTTTAAAAAACCTTCTATGTTTTGCTGAACTTTCTTTTAGCCCTTCTATTTTTGGCTGAACTTTTTTAAACCTTCTATGTTTTGCTGATTTTTTTTTTTACACTTCTATGTTTGGCTGAACAATTTTTTGAACCTTCTATGTTTTGCTGACCTTTTTTTAACCCTTCTATGTTTGGCTGAACTTTTTTTTGAACCTTCTATGTTTTGCTGAACTTTTTTTCAACCCTTCTATGTTTGGCTGAACTATTTTTTTGAAGAGGCGAGGTTTGGGCTATGTTTGGACAACGCAAAGTTGAACTTTTTGGCGAGACTTTGATGAACTTTAACATCGTCCTGTCTTATAAGGGTTCGGCCGTCTTAAATCTAGGATCAATACTGTAAGTTAGCTGGCAAAACCACACACTTTCACCTTTCTCCAGCAAGTTAATTCTCAATAATTCTCATTGCTCTCGATTTGCCACCTGGACAGAAGGTACCTATTATTGATTTCCCGACTTGTGTTCTGTAACAAGACTCAAGACGGAGGATATTGAGCTGGAAGCCGACTCACACTTGGGAGCAGGGGCTTGTGGTGTAGTCGCTTGGCTTCCGTGCAAAATGAGGACGCGTTGAATGCAGAGGTTGCACCACAACGGCCTTGGTTGCTTTGTTTTGTTGACAGGCTTACTGCTTACTGTCCATTGTGGAAGGCTACAAACTACAATGTTGCTGCAATGTTGCTTCTGTTTTGTGACGCAAGCCAAAGGACATGGTGGCTCAGGCTCTACAGACTAAAGTGTGTCAGGCTTTCGCTTCAGCCAATTCCGCTACCGGATATTGAATAGTGATTGCATTGTTGGCCACACCCACCTTCGGCCGTGAGGAACACGAGTCAAGATTGTTTGCACTGAGGTCTTGAAGGGGGTCATCAAACAGACCGGCATTCCAGTGGCCGTTGCTTGGCTTTTATTTTTATGTGTTACTGCACTGTTGTTGCATGTTGTTGCCATTCAACTCATGATCCAGCCTGTCCGCTGCCATTTGCAATATCCCTAGTTTGTACTTCCCACCTGCAATTGAGGTCAAGACCGTCAAGGTCGATGACAAGGTCGAGAAGCCAGAACTGCATTACTTGGCAAAGACGCAGCTTGTGGTTCAATCGTTCTGAGCATATTCTATGGTCCAATGAAATGCCTCACCTTGACTTAGTCAGGGTACTGCAACTTTTCAATCCATGTGTTTTCCACATCTCTTGGTTTCCCAGTGTCTTAACTTCCGGCCTTGCCAGGCCAAACGTGAGCAGCTGTTGAATGAGATTCGTGGACTTGTGGCGGCTGAGGGGTGTGTGAACCTCGTTCATTGGTACGCAGGCCTGGCACAGGAAAAGCCGGTCGATCCTAGGCCCCACTCATTACTCGTATAGCCACACACACATATTCAAAAAAATATATGTATCTATATTATTACCTAATATTGATTGAATCATTGGCTTGTGTCACCCTCAGAAAACTTAGTGACTTGGGCTAGCTCATCTTCTGTGGTAGCGCATCATCAGGCGACCTATTGCTTAATGCCAAGCAAGGTCGATCAACACGCGTTTCAACTTGGCTGTGAATGCTGGTGAATGCCTTACCGTGCCTTCCCCATCAGTGAGCAAAATAGAGGGAGATTCCACTACCCCTCCCCATTCTGAAACTCTGATTCTGCAACTCTCTCTCTAATTCCAGGACTCTGTTCTGCAACTTGCTGCGCAACAACTGCACAACTCGCATCAACTCGCCGTTCGATTCAGAAACCCACCTTTCAGAGCCCACTTGCTTGTCCAGGTTTTCTGTCCAAACGGACCAGCGTGGTGCATGTGGCGCTGGAGTACATGGATCTCGGGAGCCTTGCCGAGCTCAAGAAGCGCTTAGGAGGGTATGGTGTGCCGCCAGAGTACCTGTCCAACATCACAGCGCAAATCATGAACGGCCTGAACTATCTACACAAGATGCTTGGCGCGGCAAGGAATTCATTCAGTGGACTTCAATCTCGGATTTGGTCCCATGCTTCACTCTCATGGAATTTCCTTTGTTCATCAGATTTCATCAGGGCAAATTTTCGGGAATCAGGCGGACCTCCCGGACCACTGCTCCTCGAGTCGAATCCTTCCTAAGGAAGAAGATGCTGCACAGAGACATCAAGCCCGAGCTGCTTGGTCTGGTGCTGTGCAGTTCAGTACGTGCAACGCAGAATTTACGTTTAAGATCCTCCATTCTCCATGATATCCGGACTACTAGAAAATGGGAGGGGTTGACGTCTGTAGAAAACGGGCATCCTTTAGTCAAGAGGTGGTAAACTCACCTGCCAGGGGTCAGGTGTTTCATTTTCTAGAGAATATATAGTTCACTAGAATATGAGACACACAGGTAAATTAGGCATGCTTCCAAGGATTTCCATGGTCATTTTCTAGATTCTAGACATCACCTTGCTTTCTTGATTATTTTGCTCCTTCATTTTCTAGTGAGGGTTCCCCATTTTCTAGTCGTAAAACATAGTAAAAATAGATCTTCGAGATCTAGAAACAGAAAAATCAAGGAAGACATTTAGAACATTCAAGACATACACATATATAATTTTCAGGCCGGATATTATGGGGAAAGAGTTGGAAGGAATGTGAATGTGAAAGAGTGGGTGCAAGTGGTCGATAAACTCACCTCTCTATAAACTCATCTCTAAGGGACAGCCAGCCCAAATTCCCTATAATTGATGGGCGGTAGGGTTTTAGGTGGCACCCGGCCCCTCCTCATTTTCTAGTAGCTTTGGTGTCTCGACCAGCACCTGGCAGCCAGTGTTGGAAATGGAAAGGTAGGGTATCCAAGGGGCAGTCGGACAATATTCTCTGGAAGATGATGGGTGATAGGGTTTTGGGTTGACCTCCTCATTTTCTAGCGGCTTTGGTGTCTCGACCATTGGACATAGAAAGGTAGGGTATCCCTGCTACCCTACTCCCATTCCATTTCTGGCACTCAGGCTGGAAATGAAAAGGTATGGTATCCAAGGGACAGCTAGACCAAATTCTCTAGAACATGATGGGTGACAGGTGGGTTTTAGGTTGACCTTGTCATTTTCTAGTGGCTTTGGTGTCTTGACCAGCACCTGGCACATCCAAATCCTCAGACCCTGCCATACCCTACCATGTCTGGCCAGTGTTGGACATGGAAAGGCAGGGTATCGCTGGTACCCTACCATTCCATTTCTCGCCAGTGTTGGAAATGGAATGGCAGGGTATCCAAGGGACAGACAGACCAAATTCTCTAGAAAATGATGGGTGGCAGGGTGAGGGCTCCTTACTTGAGTTTTTTTTCGGCTGAAGTGTGCAATGAACTCCCTCAGAAGTCGTGAGTGAACCAATATGAAATATATAATGATAAAAAGATCAAAAGATAGTTTCAGAATCTTGATTCACCAATGTGCCGGATCGTGCCGGTGTTTTCGGAGTTTTGCAGTAGTTGTTCAATAACTTAGCTTTTGATAGCTTTTGTATGCTTTTGTTTGCTTTGGGGACTCCTCACAACAGGTAGAAGCAGGATCGAAGCAGGATCCGCTAGAAAATGGTAAACGCCTGACCGAGCCGAAGATGCACCAAACACGGGTGAAAAGGCTGCGCTTGGAAATTCTTGCCGTTTTCTAGTGAGCAACTGTTTTCTCACTAGAGAATGCCAAACTTGATTCATGAGGCTGGGAGACTCATTTTCTAAAGAGCTGACATTCATCATTCCGCAGGAAATGACTAAAGAATGACTAGGACTGACCCCTCCATATGAAATTCATGGGAATCGTTTAAGCCATTTCACCGTTTTGCTCTTTACTCACGGCCCACGGCCCTTGAAAGAATTGCTGCCAACCACTGTGCAAGCCAACTTCGCTCAACAAGACAATCTTACATCACAAATGCCGTCACGGTGAGGTACGGTACTTTTGCCAGAACACCAAGTTGGTTTGGTTTTGCTTCCCATAGCAAAGGCTCAAATAATATTCAAGTGTGCATGCCAGGTATGTATACGAAATCTTTGTGGGTTTGGTAATGGGTGCTTGGACAGCCCTGATTGTCATCAACATTCTTCCAATATGTACCAATGACTTCTATCTGCAAACGAAAGAATGTTACTAGGAACAAGTGCATCGCTACTAGGAACAAGTGCCACGCTAGTAGTAACAAGAAGCTACTAGTAGTTTCTGCCCAGACCCCCGCAGGATCCAACACTGGCCTGCCTCACCTTGCTTGGCCTCGATTTGCCTGTTGTCTCACGGGAGAGTGAGCACTGGTTGAAGACAGCACTGGAATCCATCTCCGATTGTTGCTGCGCACAAGGAATATCCTTCACAACCGTCAAGGGGAGGTCAAGCTCACCGACTTTGGGATCGCAAAGGCGGAACATGTGGGACACCAGGTTTATGTAGGCTTGAGTCTATGTTCCTTTTATCCAATTCCTTTTCCTAGCACGAACCGCCTTTTGATCATGGGTTTGGATGATCATGTCAAGATGTCAATGTGTATGTGTAGTATGCGTGGTTTGCTTAATGTTGTTTCCGGTGAACTCCGCTTCGAAGCTGGAAGCTTGTTTAGAGCGCCCGGGATGCCAGGATCTAGACAAGACCATTGCTATGGCTGGCACCTTCGTGGGCACCGTCACGTACATGTCCCCTGAGAGGTGCTTAGGCAAGGTTGCCCGCAGCGTCGGATGACTTTTCCTTCTGAGGGCGACTGAATTTGCCAGCTCTTTAGGCACCCAAGTGGGGTTGTAGTGGCACTTCCTTGCATTTCATGATCAGTTCAGTGGATTGGATTAAGCTAGCAAATTTAAGGCTCCCTCGGGTCTTGGTCGGCCTGCCCGTTGGATCAAGGGCTATTGAATTGGAACTACATGGACCTACAACCCGCGCAGTCCCACTACATAGCCATGCAAAGTGTACAGATGCATACCACATACCCACATGAATTCCACACTCCATACATTTACAAATCACTTACAGTAACCTGTACACACAAAGACGCAGTTTGTATGTTTTCGGCATTTGTTTATTTTTTTCGGGCATCGTTTTCATATTTGCTTTGTTTCTTTTGCTTGTGCAGCTTTTTGCTTTTGTCGCTTTTGAGCTTTTGGTGTTTGCCTGCGCTCTTGTTGCTTTTATTATTGTTTGTTCTGTTTGGTTCACTCTGGGGGGGCGGCGCTGCGCCCTCCGCCACGAAATTAGCACTTATATAATCCTCCACTTGCAGCGCCTGCCACGAACTGATGTTTTCTGAATGTCAACTATGCTGCATTGCACCAACAACTCACTATATGAACGAAATCTGTGCTATGTCTTCTCAAGATGACGCATCATTGCTCCCCATTGCTTCCTTTGCTGCAGCTAGGCCAGGCTGGCATCCAAAGCAAGCCTGTCCTTTACAACTTCTTAAGGCTCCCAGCCTTTCTATTTTTCCGGTGGGGTTGCTTAAGGATGCCGTGCCTGCCGAAGGGAGGAACGGTTACAGATCTTCAGTGCAGGATTGAACTTAGTGGAGGAAAGAGCCACTCCAACTCCAACCAATAGCAGTCCGCCACCCGCCGAGGGCAACATTTAGGCGGAGGAAGGGGTCATTTCAAGGTAGCATACCTCGTTTGTGCCAACTGAGGACAAAATGGATCAGAAAGGGGGATCATTCCAAAGAAAATTAGATGAGGAAGGAACCATTCCAACGTAGCATAGCTTTTGTGAGCCAACCGAGGGCAAGGAGCCATTCCAACGCAGCTTACCTTTTGTGAGCCCGATGAGGTTAGAATTTGGAGGCCCCAACTGCTGACATCAGCTGCAGATGTAAAGGGTGTAGGTCTAAAGGATTGCAAACAGGACGCCCAAACTGCTGTAAATAGCAGCGAGCTGTGAGGCCCCAGGATTCTAGACAAACATTCGAGAAAAAAAACAAAAAACAACAAATCATAACATATCCAAATCAAGACCGCACCAATTTTCTCGGGTTGCCCAAGGCAGGCTTAAGTCTATGGTTTGTAGACGTGTGGCTGGCTTGTGCAGATTGTGCGACTGAAGTGAGTAGGGGGCGCAGTGCAATTGCAGAGGAAATTAGTTTGGGCAAATATATAATGACTCTGAATATCCTGACGTTGGGTGGTGTAGTGACAGGCTTTGCAAGAAGCCGATGGTGAAACGTGTTTGAAGGAAGGGAGGAAAAGAGGGAAGAAAGGAGGCCGGCTTTGTAGCTGGCATTCCCAGAGATGCCGTAGGTGTTCAACTGCCTTTTAGCTTGCTGTAAGCTTTCATCATGTACATGCCTGGGAAACATGCTGCATATGGCATAGTATATTTAACGCCAAATATGACACACTGGCTTCATCGACCCAAAGCTGGCATTGTCGCCAGCAGGCCCTGAAGAAGAAACCTCCTAGAGTCCTAGAGAAACAGATCAAACACATCGATGTTCTTGAAGAAACTTCAAGTTGATTCCATTTTCTGCCTCACGTGGAGGCAATGATTATTCCTTTGCATCAGATATTTGGAGCGTGGGGATGGTCATTTTCGAGCTCAGCACGGGAAGATATCCATTTGCGGACCGAGCGTTGAGGGAAGGGTTTTCCTGCGAGGGGAGGGCTGTGTGCCAAGAAGCTTCTTGGGCCCGTCATATTTGGACCGATTGTTTAATGATGATAGGTGTGGTGCTTGTCACAGCATGGGCCTCTTGCACTGTTTCAGTGTAGGTGATGTCTCAAAGGCATAGTAGTGATAAGGCTTCAATCTGTCCTTACAATTGTGTTTATTGTGTTCTGATGCTCTTGGTGCCATGTTCCGGTAGCTGTGGCCGGCAGGACATCGTTTCTTTTCCAGTGCTTTTCGAGCACCTTTGCGACAAGCCTGAGCCCAGGCAAATTGCATCCGATCAAAGCTCTACTGCATCCTTTCACTCATGTGGGATGCCGGTATCACATTTGACTTCCCATTGAACCATGCAAGTGCAAAAAGCCATACTGCCACGCTATATGTTTTTGTATTCTAATCTAATCATGGCCTTGGCTAGCTGCATAGTTGACCTGTCGGGGGTCAGACGATTTGGCAATGTCATGCAACCTCGTGTGTTGTAGTTGCAGGCTCGACCCAGAGTACTTCCCCGCGGAGTTGGTGGAGTTTGACGCCTATTGCTTGACGCGAGATGTGTCAAGACGCCCTGCCGCTTGATCCGTGCAGAAAGGGGTCAAAGCTTAGCAGCAACCAGTAAACCATAGAAAATCCCCTCTCCCCCTCTCTCTTCTCTCTCATCCCTCTCCCTCTACCTCTGTCTCTCTCTCTCTCTCTCTCTTTCTCTTGTTATTCTTGCTCTCTTGCTCTTGCTCTTTCTCGTCCTCTCTCCCTCTCTCTTTCTCCAAGCTGCACTTTTCTTCCATGGTGTAACCAAGGATACCGAGTTCTTGCTAGCTGCATCCTCAGTGAAAGTGGACCGTGTTTTGAATGAATGCTGCTCATGTCTGGATGCCAGTAACATCGAAACCAGTAGGGCGTCGCCTTCGGCCAAGTAAGTTGAGGGACCGATGGATGTGGCCTGGTCATTGGACCGAATCAAACTGGGAGTGAACTGCGAAGATCGATGCTGTAGCTTCTTGTTCCTAGTGGTAAGGCCAGGAGCCCCTAGTAGCGTCCTTGCTCCTAGCGATGCCCTTTGTTCCTAGTAGCTTCTTGCCATACAGGCTCACCCTTTCGTGACCTACAACGTGCCATCGGCAGATCAGCTTGCAGAATGGCTTGTGAGCTTCTGTGGATGAGGCGCGGCCGCCACTTCATGCCCATTGTCTTAAGCCTTCATTGTCTTATCTGATCATGAAGATTTGGGTGCACTTCGGCATACAGAAACACAAAGAAACCTTCAGAGATCTTGGGCAGAGCTTCTGCCACATTTGACAGGCTTTGCCGGTCCAGATGGTGAGGCTCAATGTATGCAAAGACGTGGGAAGTTCATGAACCCATATGGACCCGTTCAATGGTTCGTGGGTTGCACGACAACTTCATCATGTATTGATGTCTATGGGACTTGTACACCGTGCAACCATTTGCAACCTACAAGTTGCTCAACACAAAAAAATCAGGGGGCTAATTAGTACTATATAAATAGTCTAAGCCGGCAAGCGGCTGGCACTATGCTTCGGCAAGACATGGACTTCTCGCATGCTGGATGCTGGAACTTGCCTAGTCCATCATCTCTCCTAGTTGAACTTTGTTCCCAACCTAAACCACCAGCTCAAGAGCCACCCTGGGAGTAAGAGAGGAAGTGTCCTCCTCTAGGGCAGTCTTCACCAGCGCATCAGCGCCGAAAAATAGATATACATTATGCACACAGATGCTTTGTGAGCTGCCCGGTAGCCCATCCTAGCACACCTGAGCCGAGACCGAGTTCCTTTCTTGGTGACACCCTCCTTCCATCTCACCCAGAACTGTGCCCAACTCTTCATGCACTTTTTTTAAGTGCGGTTGAAACAGTGGCTGATGTAAATTTTTGGCAAGTCACGTGCCAGCAGTCACGTGCCAGCAACTGGGCAAGAGTCCGTACTTTTGGTCCGTAGCAAGTAGTTTCAGTCCATTTGACCCTTTGCCTCAAGAGGTTGACTGTGTGACGGCTTGAGCTCCAAAGAGAGATGTGACCACGCTCGCTTGGAAACTTGAGAAGGCAGTTGCCAAGGTAGATTGAGATTTTTTGCACCAATCCGGATAGCAGATGGCCGCTCAATGATCTGAACTAAGACCTGGTTGATGGAATGTAAATTGCAATGAATGCTCGGCGACTACTTTGAAACAAGCCCTGTGGCTCTTGCCTGGTGAGTTTCTTGCAAGCGGATGGCCACTTGAGAATCTCGCGTCGATTGGCCGGTTCTCTGTGGGTCATGTGGAGCCCTCCCAATCTGAGCCCCCTATGCAGAAAGCACCACAGTTCCAAGTTCGTTCACCTCCGCAGCTGCCCTACGGAATCCCGTTTTGACCGTCATGTATGGTGGAATGGCATGCTGGTACACTTGACCGTTCCAGTGCTTCACTGGCTTCGTTTCCTCGAATTGCTGGAAGTCAGCATTTTGAACATCCAGGCAGCCAAACTGTATGGGGGGGCTCTTTGGAGGGCTCTGACCGCAGGATGAAGGCTAAACTGAGTGAGCATCTGGTGGAGAAGCTGCTGGTTGGGACTGTTTTTGAAGTAGTTGTAACATGTTGTAACAAAATTTGTGGTCCTGCACTAGATAACCATGGGAGAATGGAGGGAGCCTTTGCGCACGACGACACCAAAGCTCTGCACTGTAGCAGCTGTGGATGCTATGAGCATTCTATTTGATTACATTTGTTTACATCTAAGATCGATTTATTTACTGTATCGCAGTCAGCCATCCAGGCAGCCAATCAGCCAAGCAGTTGCTTGCACTCTGACCACGCAGTCCCTGTACAGTTCAGGGACGAACTCAGAAGAGATAATTTAGACTTCAAGCGCAGAAAGCCGAATTGACGTGGAGCAAGTTCATGAAACATGCCCTTTTTGCCCAGTTTCGAGACGACCTAGTTGCTCTTCTCCTTTTGTTTTTTGCTGGTGATGCCGTGCTAACCTCGGCCCGTCATTTACAACATAACATTGCTTCGATACTCGAGTGCCCGAGAACAATGGTAGTGGCGGGTTTGCGGGTTTATTGGAAACCTTCACTGTGTGGGGCCTGTGGGAGAGGTCATTGGGGGGTTGATGCTCTGTTGCAGATGCGTTTGGAATGCGAGTGCCAGATGCTCTCATGTTTGCAGCACGCTGTTGTGTTGAAAGTCTTCGGTGTTTGCGTTTGGCCGACAATTGTGGGGACCGCCCGGGCTAAGTTGGAAGATTTCTTTATGTTTAGCAGCACGCACGTTTGTTTTGAGTGTGCTGTGCTTGCCCAACAGAGTTCATGAGAGTTGCCCTGGTATCCATTGGAGTTTCCACCGACATTGAGAGCAGGAAACGTCGGTGGATGTGGAGATGCACCCAAGGTCAAGATGGGAGTGTCCACCATACACCAGTCGTTCCCTAGTTTTCGAGTCGTTTCCACCAGTCGACGTTTCCACATTGTTTTGTCTCGGCAACTGCATACGTCGTTCCTCTCGATCCCTGGGTGATCTTGTTTCGGCTAGGAGTGTGAGCGTCTTCGCGCAGAGCTCCGGGATCGGCGGCGTGAGGTGGGGAGTCTTCCGAAAGCGTGGGAACAACAGCGCAGTTTCAGTAGCTTGGGCAGCCGGCCGGAGCAACTCTTTGATATATACATTGAATGCATATATACTTATCTACACTTCTCATGTTTCTATGTGGCACCATGAGAGAATCAGCCGAAACGGCACTGTCCGTTTCCAGGCTTGTCCAAAAACATGCGACCTTCGCCTTGGATCGCTATGTGTGCATTTAGTTAATCATGTACGAATTGGCGAACCTCTCCACACAGGCATGGGTCATCAAATCCTTCGCCTTGGATCCTCTCCACCTAAAACTTGCACCCAGGAGTCTCGCCTCTCTTCACGTTTGGACCAGTCAGATGCCTTGGCGGCAGTTCAACGTGCTTGGATTCTTTGCTTCAGACAATCTGGAACGCCTACCGGTGACCAGCTGTTTGCATTGCTTCTGGTGTTGCTAGGTGCTGTCATGTGCTGTCACTGAAATGTTGCCAGACCTTTCCCTTGAAGCCTCACTGCTTGAGGCTTGAGAGCTCGGTGTTCGAGCGGATGCAGTTGCGGCCTGGCATTAGTTCATCCCAGGATGTCGGGCTTGCCGACCAGAACTTTCCAGGTTGAAAGAGTGAATTCATGGTGGCGCTGTTTTTAGTGGCCCCAGATGGCTCTAGAATATACCCAAAGGCCCAAAGGCAACGTATTCGTAATTGGATTCATCTCAGTCAGATGGAGGCTGCAGAGTGTGCTGCCCCAAACCTCACGGTGCTTGGACCCAGCTTGGCGGGAGACTGGACCAGGTGCCCTCAGTGGATGAGAATGTTTTCATATTGCAGCTTGTTGCAACAAAGTGAGACACGTTGCATGTTCCATCATTTGCCATGCTTCAGACAGACCTCCCTTGCTGCCACGAACATGCATTGGTTTGTTTAAGCTCCCAGCTGGACTTGAAAATCACGAAGTTGAGGATGCGCTCCTGACAGACGAGAAAGCTTGAAGCACCAACGCCCCATTTTTGAACTGGAGGATGGTGCTCCAAGGTGGCACTTGGGACCACAAGTAGTTTTTGGAAGAATGATGCTATGAATTTTTACCTCTACCGAGTAAAAGCCAACAGTATTAATTATACGTTTTGAGAGCATAAGTAGGCGTCAATTTACTCTTGCTGATTCCTTCAATCAAACATGAAACCACTTCAAATTCCAACCCAAAACTTGTAAGCCGTTGCACAACAGTAACGGGCTTATAAATTCCAAGGCGTCACAAATGGGATGGCTTGTGTGTTTTTTGTTACTGCGGAATGCAATTATAAGAGCAATACATTTGTTTTTTTCCATTACCAGCGTTGTTCAATCTTTCATATATGAAATGAAGCAACTCCATTTGACAATCACATGCGCAAGAACATATGCGTCCCATAATCAAATCAAAAGAACATCTTGGAACAACGCATAGGCAACCACACACATCACACCCAGTGTTGTCATGTATGGTTCAAAAATAATGCAATGCGCGGAGGAAAGGAACAACTATTCGTTGATTTGTTGACGAAGTTGTATAGTGAAAACACTATATATATTTTTTACACGCTGAACAATAAACAAACTATTTCCTTACTTTTAACAAATGCATGTGACAGTGGAAGTTGGAAGGTATATCAATAATATAACCCTTGAATATCTTTAAACAAATAGATGCGTTTCTCATATATCTCTTTGGGAAATTTAGACGGTCAACAAAATATATATTAATACTATTTTTTTAAATGGACTCCTGAAACTATAAATAACCTACTATTTGGGAATAAACCTTATTTGCTTGAACATCTAAACCATGGAAAAGTATTTATTTGGAAGCAAAGCTCCACAGAAAGACAATCCTGGGAAAAGTACGGGAACAACATGACTTTTTGGAAGTAAAACCCTACAGAAAAGAACATAAGAAAAGAAACGCACTCCTTGGAAAGAAATACTTACAGGACAAATATGTAATGTATCATTTATTAACTTTATTCGGAGCAAACGCCACAGAAAACAATTCAATAACGCAATCCTATTTGGTTTTGGAATAACAATCCATGGACATATACGAGCGACAAAGTGTAGAAGCAAAACCGAACAGAACAATAATTGTTTTCCTTATACTTGTTTGGAAGATCAATCTTTGCAAAATTACAAGAAACATATTGTGTTTGGAAGCGAAGCCCCTCGGAAGAAAATATAACGAACACACACACAGTAAAGAACACATTAATTTCGTAATTCTTTGGAAGAACACTCCATCGAAACACATACGGAAAAAGACAAACAGAAACGTTCTTTGGTAAGCACAACACCACAGAAAAACAAGTATAAGAGACAGACACATGGTTTCCTTTACTAATTTGGGAGAACAATCCTTGGAACAACTACAAGAACACTATATATATATATATTACTTTTTGGAAGCAAGACCCCTCAGAATAAATATACAGAAAACCCTGTTTTCTCATAAGTTCTTTGGAAGAACAATCCATGGACTATGGACAAATACAAAACAACACATTTTTTGAAGCAGAACACCACATTAAAACAAAATATATAGTATATAGAAAGAACATATTTTCCTTAGACATTTTTTGGAATAACAATTCACTAAAAAAATAGAATAAAACACATTTTGGGAAGCAGAACCCAACAGGAAATATGACACACAAATGTGCTCTTTAATTTTGTTGGGAAGAACAAGCCTTTGACAAAATACAAGAAACACTACTTATCATGTTTGGAAGCAAACCACGAACATATGAACACGCACATGTTCTTATATTTTGCTGGAAGAACAATCCTTGAAAACACATACAACCCCTTGGGAAAACTATCAAAATAGCGAAACATAACCAAAGTCGTTGAACAATGTAAGACAAAAACCTGTTGTAATTTGTATAAAACCCTCCAGCCGACACATGCAATGTGTTGCATTTTGCTGGTTCATATTCACGAGATTGCAGGAAATCTATAAATACATTTGCTCACAAACCTGCTGGTGTTCAGCAGATTATTTTTCTCATAAGCTGATGGACAAAATAAGAAACATATTCTGATAAAACATATAATTGATAATATACATATATAAATAGGATGGCGCTTTTCTCTCCAAGGGTTTGAATGTATTACCTAGCCTTCTGGTCCTTCTTTTTCCACAGATTGATCTTCCGATCTTCCAAAAGCTTAAGAAAATAACGTTCTTCTTATACGTATGTTTTTCTTCATATGTTTTTCCGCATGGGTGGTTTCCAAAATATAGGGTTTTCATGTTTGTTTTCTCTGTGGCCTTTTGCTTCTAAAAATGATAGCTATTTTTCTCGTATTTTGTCCCAGGGTCTTCCCAACATTTGTTTTCTCATGTTTTCTCGTATGTTTTCTATGGATTGTTCTATGGATTGATTGTTTCCCCAAATGTACAATGTAGCACAATGTGTTTCTTATATATATATATATGTGTGTGTGCTTCTATGTTTTTAAACGTTGCATTTTGCTTCAACAAGTTTTGTACTTGTCTCGTATTTTTTCACGGATTGTTCTTGCGGTTTGCTTCCAAAGAATGATACAATTCTTTTGTTGTATTTTGTCCAAGGATTGCTCTTCTAAAAATATGCAAGACACATGTTTGTCATTTTTTCTTGCAGTTGTTCTACGGATTGTTCTTCCAAAAAAATGTCAGAACATGTGTATTTGTTTAATACATGGCGGTTTGCTTCCACACATTTTGTATTTTCCTCCTATGTATGTTTTCCAAGGATTGATCTTCCAAAAATATAAAGAAACAAATGTTTTTCTTATTGTTCTGTCGCTCTTTACTTCCAACAAGTATATAGTATTTTACATTGTTTTTTTTCACCGAGGATTGTCCTTTCAAACAGTTACTGTACAAGAAAAAGACTCGCAGAGTTTGGTTTCCAAAAGACTTTTATTTCTTGTATTTTTGGATGACGACTTCGTGCCAACAATTACTTTTTTAACACACTGTATTCTATGGGTTTTGCTTTTAGACAGTTCTTTTTCCATTGTTCTTACAATGGTTGTTCTTCTAAACAGCTCTTGTTCTTATTTTTTCTGTTGAGTTGTGCTTCCAAAACAATAAGTTCTTTTTTTTAAAATACCATCCAACAATACAAGAAACACATATTGTTCTTATATGTTGTCGAATGATTTTTTCCTCCAATATTCTATACGTTATATCTTCAATAAACGTAATTTTCTTATAATGCATGTGAAATGTGCAAAAAGACTTTAAATATTTATAGGTAGAGGAGATGAAAAAGATCGAACTGTAGCCTTTTCGACCTTGTGGATCACGGCTTTTTAGTGGGAAGCATCGCTCCATTGATAGAGGTTAACTTTGAAGGGTCCATTATTTTACACATTCGTAGGTGGTTCTCAAGGTTTAAACTGACGGAAGAAGAGTCTTGTGCAGGAGAGTGTTTTATCACCTTGAACTCTTGAGTGCGTGCTGTCAAAAAAGATGTTTGCAGCCTGCTGAGAATTTCACCCCACCTAGCACCCCCCCAGCCCATTACAGTATATAAACTTTTAAACTTCCATCAAAAACACCAGGGTTGTGAAATGTCATAAATGATGTCAATACCACAGCTTCATCAAACCATTCTTCGATATTCTGCGGTTCATTGCGGCGTTTTCAGCCTTTGCCTTTTGGAGCATTTGACTTCCTAAAGCGAAAACCTTATGGAGGAGGAGCTGAAGTATAGCACGGTCTAGCTGTGCTATGATATTGAAAATAGATCAAACATAAATCTTCATCCAAGTGGACGCGGTGGATGGAAATTCATCCCACGGCAGTTCCCACTGGCCACGTTTTGGACAGCGACCAGTGTGCTTGCTCAGCTCACGTCATTCTAAGGGCAGATGGGCATGATGTTGCTGCCTCAGGGCGGTTTCAGGCTATTCAACGTTATTGAGGATGTTGTTCCCATCATTTTGCAAAGCCTTCTACTACTTACTACTGCTTTCTCACTTTGGAAGCGCTGAACACGCTGGGGCCCTTGCATGTTCGGCTATTGTTGGATAGGTATGCTCGGAATATTGATTTGTATCCTGCAATGACATTGAATCACCGAAGGAAGAGAGTCAAATCTCTGAACGCACATCAAGACAGTCAAACCACCTTTGTTGTGGAGCACTCTCAAGCTGTAGCCGAGTTGCTCAGGAGCAGCAGTCAGAGACCCAATCAAGGCGGTCGGAGGCTGCAACTGCAAAGCAGCAGTCAGAGACCCACTCGAGGCACAAGAGAATTACGGATGTTTCCCGTGATTGTTTTTTTGGCGGTGTTTCGGCTTTCATTCATTCTTGTACTTGTGACGAAGTTTGATGGTGGCCACTTGCCTCGAGTCAATGTGGATACGTCAAATCTGGGCCATTGAATGTAAGGAGTGCCTTTGGACACTCTTGCTTCAACTGGAAACAAGGTTCCAGTTTGGCAGTCATCTCCCTCGATCTTTGTTGCATGTTGCAAAAAGGCCATACCTCCCTTAATCCCTTAATCCGTAGTGACTAGCGCGTGCCACAAAGTCCAATGACCTGATGATTGCGTGTGCAAGTTTCAGGCAAAGCGAAGAGGGCCGCCTTGCTTGGTCCCCAGGATTGGTCCACAAGGTGGAAGTTGGACTTGCAAGAGCGCCATTTGATATCACCTGATCAATCACCTGATCATACCTGTCATCTCTGATTGCTTCCTCCCGGACCGACTTGGTGCCAATCCACAGCCTTCAAAGACCCTTGGAACATTCACCAAAGAACAAGGCTGCATTCCAGCGGAACGTTGACCGCTTGATGGCCGGGAAGCCTGCGCAGAGCGACAACATGATTTTTTGAAGAGTGTTTTTTGATACTACGTCACTAGATGCCACAGGAATATCGCTGCTCCCAGATGCTTAATGTTTGTTTTGCCGGAGCTCGGTCCAAAAGGGTTTAGTCAGTTTAGTCACACTGCCCTCCTTCCTGTCACATCCTACACGATCGGGCCGACAACATTGCGACTGCCCCCCTTGTCCCAAGAGTGCACGCCACCAACATGTATCGCACAATTGCAGTTTTTTGTTTGATTTGGTTGGATGCAACGTCCTTTCCACGGCAGATTTGTGCACTACAGATGAGGTATAGCATTTCTCCATCGAACTGTTCGGTTGGATTTGTTTATGCAATGCTTGTTTGAAGACGGGGGGGCAGGGCGGGACAAAAATTGAAAGGAGTATTGTCAAATTGTCAGTGCGGGGATTTTGGCTGAAACTGAAGCTGACACTGAGCGTGCATTGAGCAGCAGGACGGCCGGGAACACCAACCTGCCAGATCTGGAGGCCTGGCTGTGATAGGAAGAGGTGCACAACGAGCAGAGTAATTGAACGGCGGCAATGAACCGTAATTTTTCGAGGACATTTTTACTTAAAAACAACTTAAAACGTATTGCATGGGGCCACACGCGCGCAATTGTTTCACAAGGTTCGCGCAAGGCCTTTGATTTGCGCAAGGTTGCGTAAACGTCATATTTTGTGTGTGAATGACAGACAGTTTGTATGACACACTTTGAGCTGTTCGTTCATGAATTACTTTCTGTTGTGGACATTCATGAACTTCCCCTCAACACGGCCTCATATATCTCCTGTTGATGTTCCGTTCCAGCTGGTTACCGGTTGCTTGGGGATATTTTGATGGATTCCAATATCTTCCGCCGTGCTCGTTCCCTTAAAACCTTTTCATGAGCAAAAAGAATCAGATTGTGAGACCTTGAGAGACTTTGCTGTGAACTGTCTCAACTGTGAGACTTTGAGAGACGCTGTGTTTGCTGGTTTAGTGGTATGCTGTTTGGTCAGGGCTTGTCCTTGAAAATACAAACATGTTCGCGCAATGTTGGTGCAAGCCGCAAGTGCCCTCGCCCACCTACCCTCCACAAAGAACCACCATTCTATTAAGGGGACTTGAAGCAAAGCTAACCCAACTCGCACGAACGTATCTTCCACAAAGACGGTTTCTACAAAGGCAAAACAGCTTAGCAAGCAAGCGTTCAAAAGGAGACGTCAAGCTCAACTGCACTTTGCCTTCCTCATTTTCATTCACCAAGTGATTCTGCTCAGAACGTCCAAAAAAGGGTCTCATTCGCATGCAGACTAGCTCAGGCATACACCACGCAAAGCAAAATCACACGAAACATGACAAAACCATACAAAACCTAGTGACAAAACGTGTTTTAGCACAAGTTTGCCCAAGCAAATGTTGAAGACAAGCCCCCGCGCAAGTTCCCACAGTGGTCGCGCAAGCCTTGCGCAAGGTTTTTGTGCAAGAGTTAACAATTTCACACAATTTCCATGCAGTCGTTGTGTATATATAGGGAGGTTTTGAACACCGCTCGGATGTTGCGAGTGTTTGATTGTGTTCTCGTGGGTCGGTGGTGACCATATTTAACACGTGTCGAATGGTATTCCACTGTGCGCACTTTCTATGGAGCCTCTTTTGATGTCTTCCAGCTTGGAGTTGATCATTTGTTCAGATCATTTCCAGCTTCCCGCTTTGCTGTTGGCCTTTTGTGAACACTTGACCAGGGGAAGAGACCAAGGGCAGTACGCCCAGCGGCACCAACGCCAAGAGCCATTTCCGTGTGGATCTCAGCCACAGAGCCGTAGGGTTGGCAGGCCAAAGTGCCGATCAGCTTTTGTTTTTTTCCTCACACGGCAACAAGCGAACTAGCTGCTAGCTGGAACAATTTGGGTTTGCGCATTTCCCTACAGTGAAGATTGGACCCCTTGAAAAGGCTTCAGAATCTCCATTGTTCCATTGCCAAGTTCAGGTCCAGCAAACTCCCAACAATTGTGCACATTCTTGTTATGTGAGACACCGATCAGAGGAATGATGCTTGGACATCGTTCAGGTTTTGGCACAAGATGCATGAATGGAGTACAGTCCAGGCAGATTGCATGGCTGACAAATGTGTGGTGACAAATGCATGTACGCACATAGGAACGACAAGCCAAATGCCTTGGTACAACAACTCAAGTGATGCAACCCTTTTCCCAAGCAGTTGATTTGCACATCGGCTCGTGGACGGCAATCCTACCTGGAGTTCAATGAAAAGGAACACCGAGGACGAGGAAAGCTCGCAGAAGAAGGCGAAGACAGATGGTGAGAAGGACCTGCATTGCCAAACAAAGGCCCTGCATAACAAAGCGTAGTCAGTCACGTGTGAGGAGCTGGACGATGCCGACGACTCCAGGCCAGAAATTGGAACAGAAGTTGTATTCCACGGCGGGGAGTCCACACTGAGCCTTGGAAGGACGAGCAACGAGTGCTGCGATGAAGTTTGATATAGACATAGACGAAACCATGACCGTGACCTCCATAGGGTCGCAACGGCAACAGTGCTCTTTGACTTTGCTGCTGCTTTCTTTCTTCCTTTGCGTGATAACCTAACAATCTGGGTAATTAAGTAGTATTTGCCGCAGACAGGATTCTATACTATCTCACTTGAACAGAGGCTTTCAGAATTCCTAAAAATCAAAGTCTTTGTCTTTGGAAGTTAACGACTGTTACATTGCCGGTGTTCCTAGTAAAACTGTGCGGGATGAGTCCCCGAAGGTCCCTTGAATTGGGGACGTACTTGTAGCAGGCCAGCCGCTCAGCCCAGTTCAATAATTTCAATCCGCCCTCCGCCCTCCTCAAAAGTGCTTCAAGACGCCTTGCCGATTGCTCAGGAACGTGTTTTCTGCCATGAGAAGTCAAGTTCTCATGGCCTTATCAGAAGGAGGCATGCAATACTTGCTGGCTGGAGCCCGTGCTAACGTGGGAATTTCATCCGGCAGATGCCTGGTCGCAGTTGCTTCGTTGTGTGACATAGGTCAACGTAGAAGAAACATCTAGAAGCTGAAGATAGCCACTCACCAAGGTCATGTTGTTGATGGTTGATGGTTGGGCTGTCTCCAAGGTCTCCTGCAAGTCAGTGCCAGAACAGGTTGCCTGAAGTCATTCATCACAGGACAGGACAATCACAAGGCTCACTCATCACGTCACTGAGTCCTCCAAAACCGGGACGCACTCAGCATCATTCAGCACACCAATTTTCATATACCTCCATGCCTTGGTGAAGGGATGGTCGGACGGTCCGCGCTTGTTTTCTTTCTGTGGTACTCGTACATTTGTTGGACCAACGCACCAAGGATATTTCTATGAAGTTAAGATCCTGGAGACCTTGAATCCTGCAGAAGCTGTGCAAGGCCAGTGTTTTGGTGCACGCCATGCTTTGGTTTGACCTGTTTGACTTCTTCGACCCGAAGGACCAAGAAATCAGAAGCCCTTACGTTATGTTTGGAACTTGCGCAAGGTCTTACAAGAGAGTCACTTTGAGTTGGTTATCGTTGTTCTGAGATTGTAGGACTATGATCCGTACTTTTCATATCCGTGCATGCTGTTGTACAATGTTGCAAATAATGATTTATATAATGTACTTATATAAACATCTTTTCTGCTGAAAAGCAGACCGGTGTCACAGTTTATGGGATGGTTTGGTTATTAAACGTGTTTGGTAAAGTTCAAAGACTCGAGATTAACATTCCGATTCTGATTTCGTACGTACAAATTATGAAATAAGAAACAATAATATAACTTACTGTATATGATGTTAACTGTTTGGTCATTTTGCGGTTGGGGAGACTGGTACCCTGTGGGGCGCATGTTTCGAGCAGTGCACGACTGATCACAATCTCACAGGCAGAAGAACAATCAGGTTTGCAGCCACAAGTTCCCCAAGAAGCACGTCATGTGTGACATCATTAACTCCAGGCACTGTACAACCAGCTATCTTGTTTAATGAGGTGGAATCACTCGCATTCCCATCCCAAGCTGTCCAAGCCCGCCCACAAGTCTTCGTGGCTTCGCTTCCAGGTTGGGGTCCACAACCACGTCAAGTGGCTCGGGTGGGATTCTCGACTTCAGAGGCTCCACTACTTCTGGCTGACAGTGAGGACTGCTTCCTGCCAAATTCGGGTCCATTTTTGCTATCAAGCCTGTTAGAAGCAAATATCATTGAGCCTTGCTGCTTGCTTTTTGCCAGGAGTGCGCCTATTTCGAAGCTGATGGAACATTTGTAAGTGGCAAAATGAGACAAAAGGTCGGCCTCAACTTTGCGCGGGATCAAGTCCTTGGGATTCTCTTGAACTTGGACTCGTCCAGCCCGCTGGCCAACACCATCAGCGTTTTTCGAGCCGCTCGGAATGGAGAAGCGTCCTGACGTGCACGGAAGGCTTCGGGACTTCGAGCGAAATGTGGCGGAAGGCATTGGGTTCCCTTCCACAAGACTTGCTGTCCTTCAGTATTGGTTTTCATGTTTCTAGTTGCGGCCTCGAAGACTGTGAAGCAGGATTGGATTGACCTCACACTTGAAGGCCAAAGGTTGCAAGAGGTTCAAATTCAGCCTCCTTCACTTTGCGGCAGTTCTCGAGCATACGCATGCCCCTGTAGAAGCCACACCATACCTTGGGAATACTTGGTAGGTCAAAAGTAAACTGTGGTTTAACACATGATTTTTTTGAGAAGAACTGTCCAAAACAATGCCTCGGACGAGTCCGCAACAAACTGAACCAGTAGCATTTTGTGGTGCACAAATTGTTGTTGGAACATTTGCAGGATAGCTTGTACATGTGCTTGATTCAAAAGTATGTTTTTGAACTTGATGTCTCAAATTCAGGACCCTTTGGTGTTGATGTCAGGCAATCCACAAGCCCAAGCTGAGGATGGACAGCGTGTCGCACAGCCTCAGCCCTTGCCGGAAGCGCTGAAGGGGAGTCTTGGAGGAAGAGAGATCGAATGTGTGTGTCTCAGGCAGAGAAAGTGATGCCCTTTGCTCCTAGTAGCTTCTTGCTCATGCCAGGAGCCCCTAGTAGCGTCCTTGCTCCTGGTAGCGGTGCTTGGGGTTCATCCTAGAGATTTGGAATGCTTTTGAATTCCTTGGCCACCTAGGAAAACATTGTTCCCTCACGTGACCTTTCGACATGTCTCGCTGCAAGTGACTTGGCTGTTGAAAGAGTCTCCAAATGCCGTCGGAGAACTGATCTCCCTTCTAGTAGCTTCTTGTTCCTAGTAGCGATGCCCTTTGTTACTAGCCTCAAACCACCGCGGCGTACATCCAGGATCATCCAACTTAGGTCCCAGCCATATCCTGCTCAGCCTTCGACGTTCAACATGTGTTTTTGCTTAGCGTTCAATTGACAGTGCTCAGTGCTCACTTGTACCATAATTTCAGCATACCCATTTCCTCATGAAATTACAGAATGAGGTGAATGAAACCTTGAATCAAGTTCGGAGTTGGAAGCATTTTTGTTTTCCGAGGTGAACATGGGCAAGGAGCCGTTGAAGCCCTTGCCATTCAAGCGCCTTGGACAGTAGTGAACATGTAGTTCGCCTGGTGTTGCAGCCAAGTGGTTTTGCGGACAAGGATGCTCAAAAAATTGATACCACTGGCCCTAGGACAAATTCAATCCTGGACATGCTTGTAAGCATGTCCTTCTCCTTTAGGGATTGAATGCTTCGCACACTTCAAGTTGGCATGGGGAGCCTATGGTGCCCCATTGCCATTGGCGCGGCAGGTGTCGGATGATTCAATCAGCGGCCAAAGCAGATGTGGAAGAAACTCCAGACCCTTCTTTGGCTGGCAAGTTCGAAGTCGTGCTTCCTGCAACATGGATTTGCAGATTATATAAGTTGCTTCCACACAGCTTTCTAGTTCCGGCATGGTTGGGCAGGGTTGGATTTGAGAGAACGCGATGGATAAAGCATCCAGCTTGGGGGGAGATGCACCCTAGTAACAAGAAGCTACTAGGTTGGAGGCCATCGCTACTAGAAGCTACCAGTAGCAAGGACTTTTATTCTTTTGTGGTTTCCGTGCTACGCGTGACAAGTGTGTGCCTGTAGTGATCCCAGGTATGCATTCCTGATGAGGGGAGCCTTGGCATGCATCCGCCTGGACGACTTAATCCATGAACTGGCCTAAAAATCACAACTAAGCCTTCAGTTCAGCAAGAACTTTCTCCGGCCCTATGTCAACTTTAAAATTTGCTATTTGGATATTTTTGCACGTCCCTTTTCAAGCCATCCTGTTTATAACAATTGGCGATGGACAATCACTTAGAACCAAAAAGATTCCAAGACGCTCAATCGGTACCGAGAACAGTGTCATAATATCAAGCAATTGCTTGTTCTCAGTGTTGCGTTGCGCTTCCTGTCCCCGCACATAGACCATTGTAAGGAGGAAAATGGAAAGCTGACTTTTCACACACTCAAGATATTGCGTACTGAACTCAATGCCGCTCACCACACGGCAACCTAGGTACCAAAATTCCTGAGAATGCATGTATGTAAGGGGGTCTGATCATCTCTAGTTGTTAATTAGCAGGCCAAAGGTCCAATCCACGAGGTAACGAAGCGATGAGAGGGCGAAATGACGGCGGTCGCTCACATCTGCAGAGTGCATTAGCCCTGTAATGGAATAGGAGAGTGACAGCTTGAGAACACCACAAAAGGAATACAGGTACGTCACTGGATGTCTCCAGTGATATCCTCAGGAGGCTGCAAAGAGCTTTGTTGAGTGGAACTCTGCAGGCCTGCTCCA